CAAGCTCAGAGAGCACCAAGGACCCCACATTCCTCCTCCTCCTCCTCCTCCTCCTCTTCCTCCTCCTCTTCTAAAGTCCCACTCCCTTCTAGCACTGATGACGTTCCCTAGTTGGGCCATGAGAGGTCTGCAAGAAGACCACCAAGCTCTAGAGAGCACCAAGGACCCCACATTCCTCCTCCTCTTCCAAAGTCCCACTCCCTTCTAGCACTGATGATGTTACCTCGTCAGGTCTTGAAACGTCTACAAGCTCTGAGAGCACCCAAGACCTCCATATTTCCTCCTCTTCCTCCCCCCCCCCCCGCCCCCGCGCTTCCTCCCAGGGTGGTTTTTCCAGGGCAGCCCTGGGGCAAAGAGGGCTTGACAGCTGGGTGAGGAAGCCCCCCCCCCCAGGAGGGCAGCCCACGGGGCAGTTGTGGAGGCCGACCGACAACCCTGGGGGGTCGGGGAGAGGCCCTCCCCTGCACCGCTCACACGTCGTCCTCCATCCGAGCTTCCCTTCCGTCGCCTCCTCACCTCCCTCCCCGAAAGACCTTCCTCAGCTGCCCGCATCGGAGGGTCGTTGTGCTCGCCTCTTCCTCCCCCTTAGCAATCCCCCCCTTGGATGCTGGCGGGGTGTTCCCAAGCCCCCCCACCCAACACGGTCTTCCTTTGCAGGAGCCCGAGGCGCATCGCCTGGTGAGGCTGGCCGGGTCCCTCTGGAGGCGTCTGGCTGTGCCGCTGGTCTTCTCCGCCTTCTGGTTGTCCCTGTTTGCCCTGCAGATCCTCACCCTGGGCGCCTCCTCCTCTTCCTCTTCCTCCTCCGGCCACTTTTTAGCCCAGCAGGGCTGGATCTTCCTCTTCCTCAGCAGGTAGGAGCTGCGCCTGGGGGCAGGTGGCGGTGAGGTTGATGCGGCGGGGGGACGGGACCTGCTGCCCGAAAGAGGCAGGAGCAGCCCCGGCGCAGCCGGTCCAGCTTGTCCCTCTCTTGGGCTTTCCCAGCGTAGCCAAATGCTGCAGCACCCCCTACTCGCTGGTCGGACTCACCTGCACCGTCTCCTACCTGGCCCTGGGGATGCTCCAGCTGGCCAGGCTCTACTTAACCGGCTACGGGGCCTTCCAGGA